GTTAACGTCAATTTTGCTGACTGTAATGTAACATTTGATCTTTATATATTTTGACTTACTAAAATAATTTCATTTGTTGGCAACAAATTTATGAGAGACTTGAAAAAATTGATTTTTTTTGCTCTAACAAAATGAGATGCCTTCATTCCTTTACTGCCCGAAAGGAGCATCCTGATTCGCCCCTGGACGTATAAATAACAACTTCAACTTGCTTCAAACATGCTGATTTAAGAAATTTTAAAAAGGTTTAACGTTAAACTAAATACTTTCATGGCATATAAATCTACCCAATGTTTACTTATGAATTAAATATTCGTTCATTTCACGCTTAGAACTGTTTGAAGTATAAACACACACATTTTTATATTTCTTTCAAGACGAAGCATAGCGAAATAAATTGAAAAAATAACAACAATAATAATAATAAATAATAACAATAATAATAACAACAGGCGTACAGATGATATAATAATATAATATGACTTGCAGATGTGAAAATAGAACTTAATGGCGTTTTATGTTTCTACGTCAAACTTCAAGTTTGAGGACTATAGTTCAATTCTTGTTAAAAAACCCGATGTTATTGGCTGGGACGAACAATATTAATTGTAATTAAATTACTAATTCATTATTATAGCACTTGTAGAAAACTATTTTTATACTAAAAACTCTGCAATGGCATTGTTTCAAGATATGATAGTTGGAATTTTAGAAAAATTGACCAAAAAATTTGTACGCGCGTTTTGGAAAAAAATAGCTAAAGACATCAAAAGCGTTGAATTTACGTGCGCCTAAAACCGTATAACACACACACACAAACACACACACACACACATATATATATATGTATAGATATATATATATATATATATATATATATATATATATATATATATATTGTATGGAAGCAACTAAAATGCGAAAAATGAAATCAAAAATGGCACATGATTGCAAAAAGCTTTAAGGAATAACTCCAATGATATTCAGAGATGGATTGAATGAAATGAGTATGGAAAAAGAATAAAAAATAATTTCTATAAAAGATGCATTGATCATGAAAATATATTTGCACATGTGTTTCAGTGTATGTGTTTCTGTGTGTCTTTGTGTGCGCGTGTGTAGTTGACGCTAATTTTAGCGACTGAGCATATCTGCCTATTAAACATGTGAATGAACGATTGAATAAATGAACGAAAAAAACGAACGAACAAATGAATGAATGAATGAATGAACAAAGAAAAGAACGAATGCACGAACGAACGCACGAACGAAAGAACGAACGAATGAATGAATGAATGGATGGAAAAAAAATAACGAAATTATGAATAGGTAATTTTTGGTTGAATATAAAGTCGACTGAATAAATGATTAAATGATGGAACAAATGAATGAATAAATGAATGAATGAATAAATGAGCGGAAAAACACCTAAATGAATGATTAAAAATACAACAAAACGAAGTAATAAAAAGGAACTGATTATGCGAATTCCCGGCAAAACGTAACTGAACATAGAACGACTAAAAAATTGTTTTAAATAAAAAAAAAATCTCTAAACATCATTTTTTGCTTTAGACGAAAAAACCGGCAAAAAATAAAATAAACAATATAAATAAATAAATAATACAAAGTTAATAAATTAAATTAAGCAAAATTAATATCACATGCTAACATAAATGCCTGTTCACAAAAAGCTTTTTCACGTATATAGTTCTGGAAGAAATCAATTTATCTTACTTACGCTAATAATAATAATAATAATAATAATAAGAATAATAATAATCTACTATACTCATATATATATATATATATATATATATATATAATATATATAATATATATATATAAGCGGATATTACATTGAAGCGTTCTTTTACAGTACAATGTATGGGAACGCATTAGATAAATTGGTAATTATTAAGGTAATTATTAATATTGTTTATTATTATTATTATTATTTCAAATATTATGACGCACTCACATTTCAGAGAAAATTTTGTTAAAAAATGTAATTTTTTCGAATTTTAAAAAAGAAATATATATATATATATTTATTAATATATGTTAAAAACATCACGGATGGAGAATAATAATAATAACAACAACAACAACAATAATAATAATAACAATAATAATAATAATAACAACCATAATAATAATAACAACAACGTAGATACAAAGATATATATCATTTTACGTAAGCGAAACCCTCATTATTATCTAAAGAATATCAAAATAACGTTGTAGCATCGATCGGCATCATCATCATCGTCACCGCCGTCGTCATCATCATCATTGTGACGTCACCGTGACGAAACAATTACACTCATGACATAAACATTTTGTCACCATCATCATCGTCTTCATCATCTCTATCATTATCATCACCATCATCATTACCATCAGTATGACATATAGTGATAATGTAATAAGGTGATAAGAATAATGATGATAGCATAGTTGATACAATAGCCTGAACTATAGCATGAATGATATCTCTAATGATATCTTCAATGGTATCTTTAATGATAGTATCATAATTGACAAAGGATAATCACACGACGACGATGACGACGATGATGACAGAGCACTCATCATGACAAAGACGACGACGATGACGATCTAGTGACAAAACATGAAGAACAACAAAAGGACAAACGTTGTTGTTATTTTTATTGATGTTACTTTTGTTAATGTTGTTGTTGTTGTTGATGATGTTGTTGTTTGTTGACATTGTCGTTAGTATGTAGTCTTCTGGACGTGAGTGGCTCTCTCCTATTGGTTGAATTATTATTTGCATTATTTTTAATTATATTATCTTCATATTAACATTAAACAAAACCTCAAAAATACAAATATGAAAAAAATCATAAAAATAATTTTCTGCCAGCCCACCTCGCCGGCAACGTTGGTTAACTTGGTTGCGGCATTGGCCCCCACGCCCCAGTTAGGAATGCTGCACTCAATGTCAAGGGCAGACGCATTCAGGGGCTTCGTACCTCTGACCCAAACCTGATCGGTTGATTGGTTGATTGATTGATTGGTTGGTTGAATATTTGGCCGGTTAACATTAACTGTCATCAACGGAATACCTAACGACATCGCTATCATGATCCACACCATCATCATCATCATCATCACCACCATCATCATCATCATCACCACCACCAACCAACCCACCCTCATCTTCTCGCCACTCCTCAGTACGATGTCACTGGGGAGGACAGTCCCCACCTTCTCCCGATCATCTACCACTCTACTCAGCATCCAACCACCAATAAACTCATCCTAATTTATTTATAATTATTATTATTGTTTTTACTACTACTATTATTAATATTTTATAATAAATTCAATTATGTTTCATTCTATTAAGTTTTAATTATCATTGACGGTTAATTCATCGTGTGTATTTATGTTGAAAGTAAAAGAAGGTTGGCATTCATTGTTGCAGTTTGTATGTATGCATGTGGTCATGAAGTGTGAATGTGTATATAATACAAGACACGTCGTGTCGTGTGTAGGTACGCATTTATGTCCTGTGATGTGTATGTCGAATGTGTGTGGTGTGGTGTGTATTCAATTTGATCGTATTTAATCCAAAGAAGATTCACAATCAGTTAGTTTTAGTTCAATTTCTGCGAGTCTTCGTAAGAGCGAACAATGAAATTGACATGCTCCTTCTCTATAGTTGAAATTCATCGTCATTTAAGTACGTGTAACCAAATTCAGCTGATACTACTGCAGCTACAAATAGAGAGAGCAAAGTTAATGTGTAATTTTTATTTGACCTTCTGTCCAGTGTTCTCCAGGGTAATGAACTTTCCGTCTGGAGAGCATTCGGCCACACTGACTGGTCCCTTCGATGAACGTTGGAAGCTGGTGCGAGAGGGGGTCCTATCGGTAGGAGGGTGTTGGGCTGCTGCCGCTGGCTGTTGGTGGAGGTGGTGCGGGCCTGGTTTCATTGAAATTTAAATAAATAAAACAAATTCTGACTTTTTTCATCAAAAGCAGCCTTTTAATTTAAAGTTACTCGAAATCATAAATTAGTGAAAGAGAATTTTAAAACTAGCAACCTTCTTCATGCCATGGTGCCGACTGAGACTTCGGATCAACTTTGGGAGTAATTTTTTGCTCATTGACACTTCCCCCTCCTCCTCCCCCGGCTGTAGCTCCACCTCTCCCCGCATAACTTCCACCACGACCGCCGGTGTAGGCGCCTCTACCTCCTCTTCCACTCGTACCTCTACCAGCGTCTGGTTGAGAAATTCCTCCGCGACCCCCGCCACCGGCATATCCACCCCGTCCAGCGCCCCCGTCAGCATCTTTTCCGGGTGTCACGGCAGGAGGGCCCGTTGGCTTTACGGCAGGAATTTCTCCTCGACCACCACCCCCTCCAGTACCTCCACTTATCACTCCACCCCCTCTACCGCCAGTTGCACCTCCTCTACCAGCAATATCGCTGATGGGTGGTTTGTTATCTTTTGCTGGCTGTTTTGAGCCGTCTGTAACTGGGCTACCGCCACCACCGCCACTGCTACTACCACCACCACCATAACTACCACCACCACCATAACTACCGCCACCGCCGTAACTTCCACCACCACCATAACTTCCACCTCCTCCCTTGCCACCTTTGTCATCAAAGGGTGATTTGTCGCGTCTGCCATCGTCGAATCCCTTCTTATCGTCGTATATCTTGCCGCCACCACCAGCTCCACCACCACCACCACCACCACCACCAGATATGCTGCTACCACCACCTCCATATCCCGGGTAGACGTCACCTCTCCTCATCAGTCTGTTGGTGACCACGTTGTAATTGAATCGTACATTGAAATAATCATTTCTCATTATAAACCACAACGCTGACAACTTACGTCTTGCCAGCCAATAGCACGAGTCACAGACAGACAGACAAACAAACAACAACTAAGTAGCAGCAATTAAACACATACGACATATACAACTACGTAAACAACACCAAAACATGAAACACACAACCACCACACCACACCACAAGCACACTAACCTAGTCTCTTCAGTTTCTAATAATTTCCTGTATGCTTCAATCTCCAGCTCCAATCCCATCTTGGCGTTCATGATGTTCTGCAGCTCCTTCAGGATAGCTTCCAGTTCCGCCCTCAGTTTGGCCACCTTAAAATTTTTTTAAACATTTTTGAAGTTAAAGCTTTCGCCCGAGCCATCCACATTTTCTTTGATGTATTTTCACGTGTTTTAAATAAAATTTCATTAACATTCCCACATAATCATGTTCATCATTTTAAAAATTGTCAGGTGTTTTAATACAATCAGACATTACTATTAAACTGGGATGAAAAATTGAAAGGAAAAACGAAAAAATAAGAGTAGGTCTTGTTGAACATCATTCATAGCGGTGAGACATTTGAAAAGAATTATTTATCTAGCTGATGTCTTCTCAAATATAATATTATCATTGAAATAATTAGACAACACGCTTCATTGAATGGCGAGTTGGAAACTCCAAATGATGCATATCCGTGTTCAAATATGAGGAAAAATTCACCAAAAAGTCCAAAAAATACGAAAAGTAAAACGCTTGACAAACTGTAAAAAATAATTATACCTCCACTTTCAAGTCTCCGTTCTCTCTCTCCCACTCTCTTTCTCTTTCATCACGATCTCTCCTCATTATTTCCAGCTCCCTTATCAGCTGAGCGTTCTGTTTAGCAAGGATGAATACAAAACAATTAAATTGTTATGAAAAAATAATTATGATAACATTAAGAAGAAGGAAGCAAAAAGGGAAAGAAAAATATTGACATGACGTTTTTGCCTTTAATTTTTTAGTTTGTAAAACCCTTAAACATTTTTTCTCCACCTTGCTATCGAGACTGCTCATCTTTTCGTTTAGCTCGCTTATGTAGGTCCTCATCTTGCGACTCTCTTCCTTGTTGCGACTGGTCAGGTCAGCTCCAGGCCCGCCCTGTCTTTGAATGTTCGTCGTGTACTCCTGGATCTGAGTGCCGCAAAATTTAGGATTTTACAAATTGAGATTACTGAATCGAAAAATTTTGCTGATGTATTCATAAAAATCGAGAATGATGAATTCATTTCAATCGTGAAAAAATACATATTTTATTGGCGTTATTTCTATATTATTATATATCTATTTGATGAATGATCATACCATTAATCTCTGGTTTTGTATCAGTATAATTGTCTTTTAGCGAATTTTTTAAACCAAATATAATATGAAACGCATCTTTTTAGTTAAAACAACAGTGTAATCTCAATGTTTATGTTTATCCAACCTGTTTAATTTCAATGTTTGTTAGAGAAAAATAAAATCGAAAAATTAACTGAAATTGTTTAAAGGTAAATGAAAAATAAATATTTGAACGTAACAATGTCCCGCGTGTTAAACCGACGTCTGCCAGAGTTTGAATTTTTAAATGATTGCAAGAAATAATCCACCTTAGTGTTGTAGAAGAATTCCATCTCCGACCTAATGTTATCCAGTTTGTCGTCATAGACCTGCTGTATCTCTCTGAGCGCCTGTCCCATTTCATTCTTCCAGAATTCTCTGTTCTCGGGGGTGGTGTCCCTGTATGCCAGGGCCGCCAGCTCTCTCATCTCCTAATCACGTCGTCATAATTTTAATTAATCTCGCTTAAATCTTAGTTTAACATTTTGATTCAATCTAAATTTTGAGCAAGTATTTAGAATTATTTTAGGATCAAGTATGTAAAAGGAAGATAATGATAAAAAAACTGTGGATGCTTGCTTGTTCGTGGATGGCTTTCAAGAATTCCAATTCTTCTTCTAGAGTCTGCCTTCTATTCTCCGCGTCAACGTGCTGAAGAGTTTCGTTGTCCAGATCCTTAAGGTTTTTAAAAATCAGTCTTTTAAAATTATAAAAAAATAAGATAGAAATATATTTTTAGATACTTTCAAATTGACGGTAAACTTAACATTAATTATTATCTTAAAATTTATTAACTAAGAGAATGGTTTAACTTACAAATCTTGCTCTGTTGAGCGCGTCAGTCAAGTAAGCAATCTGCTTCTTCTCTTTGTCCTTGTCAGTTTCGAAAGCATTCACTCGGCGACGCAACATGCTGATCTCTGCCTCCTGATCAGACAGCTGCTGGTTCTGCTTCTCTGCTCTCTCCCGCCAGTCATCAGCGTCTCGTCTGGCGTCCATCTCTCTAGTTTTACATTCGATAAAATTATCTCATGTTTATTCATAGTAAAAATAATTGAAATAACTATGCAATTTCTTTAAATTGTATAATTTTTAAACGGTTTAAAATAGTGAGAAATATTTTTGATACCTTTGTCTAGTTTCATCGAGTTGTTCCTCCAACGAAGCAACACGTATTTCCAACTTTGCCTTGTCTCGTTCACTATCATCCAACAACTTCTTCGATTCCTCCAGTTCAGTTTGGTACATGGCCTTCACAGCTGAGGTTTCCTTACCCCAACTCGCCCTCAGCTTCTCGAGTTCATCTGCTAACTTTCGATTTTGAGCCTCTAAAAATCTAACCTTCTCGATGTAGCTGGCGAATCTTTCATTGAGGTCCTGCATGTCACGTTTTTCTTTCTCTCTTGACTCCATCATAGAGCTAACGTTGCTGTGCGTCATTGCTCCGTATGCTTCAGGGGTGAACCCTCCTCTGGAGCCAGCTCCATACTGAAAGGATCTTTCTACAGAAAAACTTCTTCCCCCTACGCCACCAGTTCTGAAAGTGTAGGGCGCAACTGCTGATCTCTGAATGACCAGACTGCGAGGGGTCACAATCGGTCTGTAGATGGGCCGCTCTGAACTTGAACTCGATGTCACGACTCGTTCTCGATACGTTGAGCTGGTTCCTCCTCCAGCACCTCCGCTTGTGTATCCAGAAGTGCCACCACCGTAACTTGATGCTCCTCCCCTGCTACTTCCTCCTCCATATCCTGAGGTTTCCCTTTCCTCGTGCCTGGTCGTGGTTGTGCCCCCCCCACGTCCCTTTGATTCATCGATGTACGTTTCTTTAATTACTTCCTTTCTTTTGTAACTTTCAGCTCTATCTCTATCTCTCTCTCTCTCTCTCTCCCTCTCCATTTCCCTTTCTCTCTCTCTCTCCCTTTCTCTCTCTCTTTCCTTTTCTCTTTCCTTATCATATCTCTCTCCGCTGTGGTCATCGTAACGGGATCTACTGTAGTCAGATCTCCTATCATCATCATATCTGTCGTCACCTCTTTCTTGTCTATAGAAATCGCTACCCCCCCTACTTCCTCTATCTCCACTCCCACTCCTGAATCCCTCTCTGTCGTATTCCTCTCTCCTACTGCTGCTGTTGTGACTATCGTAACGATCGTGGTCGCCAGCTCTGTCGTAGTCGTCGAAGCCACCGACTCTGCGGTAGGTGCTGCTCGATGATTCCGTGTAGCCCCTGTCGCCGCTCGAACGATAGTCAGACATTGTCTGAAAATGTTTTATTATTTTTCAATTGAATCAAAAAAACACTTTCAAATAAATTTTCCTCAGCACAACGTTTTGTTTTATTGAAATTTTTCACTGGAATAAAAAATGATACGATCAAAAATGAAAGTTTACCTTTTAAATAACCAAAGAAGAAGCAAATGTTAATAAGTCCAAACGTTCCTGGACCTTCTCTGCAGAAACGAAATGCAGAGAGAAGAGAATGCGAATGCAAATGTATTTATTGATTCTGCGCTGGTTCGTCTCTTGCTGGCTGCATCGCTTCTGCCGCGTTCTGCTGCTGTTCGATCGTTTGCTACTTTTGCAGGCATTCATGTACCATGACGATGCTTCGTATCTTCAACGGAGAAATTAACAGGTAAATTGCACCGACAATATTATTACGGACTACAGTTTCAATTTAAACTATTCCCTCTTATTGACATTTTATAACGCATTTTATATAATGAAGCCTAAAGTTTAAAGGTTAAAGGTCAATTACACTCTTCCAAAGTTTAGAGGATTCAACAAAGCGCACAACCATCGTATATGAATACGTGCTAAACGACGCGTCACACACGAAGCATGCGATAGGCGGGGATCTTTTTGTCACATTCAAACCCGGTTACTGCGAAACAGCACCAGGCGACCTTAACCATTAGACCATCACGCCACCCTAGCGAGTTCTGTATATAAAATACAAGATAAATTGCTATTGTAGGGATCAAACATTCATTTATTAATTATCTTATATATTAATTATTGTTAAAGATTTTTGCAATTTTCAACGTTACCTAATCTGTGTTGCTTTTCTCTCGATCTTCTTTCTTTTTTCCTGAGAGCTTGTTAACGAGACGGCTTGATATTCATGTTAGAATAACATTTTTTACGCCTGAATTGTGTTTGTTTTGTTTATTTAACTTCACAACATGATGACTTGTTAGTAGCAGAGCGCTCGTACTAACAAATTGGTGACCCCGACGTGATTCCTCTGGCGTTAATCAAAAACTTCTCCGTAATAAATTTTCAATTTTTAACATGGCGGAATCCTGATTAAAAAATATCGACATGATATCCATCAAGTTGCCCACCTCTATGGATACAGCATCGACAGAATGGTTTGAAATTGCTGAAACTCAATTTCATCTCCGAAAAGTTAGTTCATCTGAAACAAAATTTTATCATATCCTATCATAGCTACCGGTAGATTTGGTTGCAAAATTACCACAACACATGTTTCATGTTAGAAATTATGACGACCTCAAAACAGCGGTGATATCGATTTACGAAAGAACAAAACCAGAATTGTTCGCTCGCTTGATTGGAGATACTAAAATGACCGGCAGACCATCACACTATTTACAAGAATTATTAGTGACAGCCAATAAAATTGGAGTGGAAGACGAACTCGTACGTCATACGTTTATAAAAGCTCTTCCAACAACAATTTCTCCAGTCATCGACGCTCAAAAAGATTTCGATCTACAGCGATTGGGAAATTTAGCAGATGAATTAATCCCATTTGCTAAAAACGAAATTTACACTATGAACAGAGGAACAACGAACAACAACAACACACATTTCAACAGAACTAGTTCAGCAAACCGCATCCCTGATACGAACATCCCAATCAACATTCGCCCATTTTGTAAAGACCAACGCACTCAAATCTGCCGGGGTCACTTATATTTTGGCAACAAATCGAAAACGTGAAAACTATGGTTTACAAATTCAACCATCTACAAGACCTCCATCTCCAGCCCAGATGAGATCACTCGCAAACAACACTCCTTCACCCCAGCCGTCGGAAAACTGATCAGGCGAGCCGAAGTCGCATCAATCGGCTCGCCACTTTTTGAAGTTGCCGCAAGAATTGGATGCACGACATCAAAATTAATAGTCACAATCAGTCACAATCATCCCAACAAAATTTTCAGCACGATTATGTTTGCAACCCACTGCCGTTCACCTGTCAACTGAGAGTGGTCAAAACATTACCTGTCATAGAGAAACCATTGTTTAAATCCACATCGTTTTTTCGTTCGTTTGTTCATTGATTCGTTGATTCATTCATTCATTCGTTCGTTCGTTCATTCATTCCTTCATTCATTTATTCATTCATTCATTCACTCATTCCTTTCTTCCTTCCTTCATTCATTCATTCATTCTTTCATTCATTCATTCATTCATCCATTCATATTTTAATCAGACAAAATATTTGCACGCAAACAGACATTCATCTAATCATACATATCTACGAACAATTTCGAGATTTTATTGAGAAAAGAAAAACACAAAACTTTTAACATTTTTTATTTTATTTCAGATTTAAAACAAACATATCTACACGAAATATAGACTGATAAAAAATTAATAGCAGCATTTGGTTGGAAAGCCCTCGTTTGCTTCCATGTTGGCATGTTGGTATGAGACGCTCTGACCGCTTTGAAGTCCCATCACAGATCACCATGGAACGACCTCCAACGGACCATGGCCAGCCCCAACCAACTAGTTTGAAATGCTTCTCCTTACAAGAACCATCCAGTCCGATGACGCAGAACAATTTGATGCAGAAGCCTTCACTCGTTGAACAATTCACAAAAAATTTAATTCAATATGAAATATAAGTGGGAGAGAAAATATAAAAAAATAAAAACAGAAAAATGTAAAAGTAAATTAAAATGAAAAAATACTTATCTTTTTGCGTGGCAATCGATCGTCCTCCAATCCATCGGAACATTTTCAAACAGGTTTCTTCCTGTGAAAAATTACAAATCATCATGAAAAGAATACAGCACTAATGACTACTGTATGTACCTCAAATATCAATCAATCGATTGTTTATGGAAATTCCCACCCACCACCCGGCCTCCTTTTGGAAAGTTTGATCCAGAAGCCTACACCCGTTGAACAATCTGCAAAAAACTATAAAAAAATAACTGGATGAGAAAATAAAAAAAAACAAAAATTACACATCACATTAAAAATGGAAAAAGAAAATAGAGAGCTACCTACTTACGTTCAATTAACTCGGCTCAGTCCCTAACTTACCTATGTTCAATTAACTCGGCTCAGTCCCTAACTTACCTATGTTCAATTAACTCGGCTCAGTCGCTAACTTACCTATGTTCAATTAACTCGGCTCAGTCCCTAACCTACCTATGTTCAATTAACTCGGCTCAGTCCCTAACTTACCTATGTTCAATTAACTCGGCTCAGTCGCTAACTTACCTATGTTCAATTAACTCGGCTCAGTCCCTAACCTACCTATGTTCAATTAACTCGGCTCAGTCCCTAACCTACCTATGTTCAATTAACTCGGCTCAGTCCCTAACTTACCTATGTTCAATTAACTCGGCTCAGTCCCTAACTTACCTATGTTCAATTAACTCATAAACATATTAAAAATGCAGAGAAAGTAAAAAAACAATGAACGAACGAAATAAATGTAAAGGTGAATTAAAATGAAAAAATACTATCTTTTAGCGTGGCGATCGATTATCCTCCAGCCCATCGGAATATTTTTAAACAGATTTCTTCCTGTAAAAAATTACAAACCATCATGAAAAGTATACAGTAACTTATGATTACTGTATGTACCTTAAATATCAGTTCATGAAAATTCCCACCCACCACCCGGTCTCATTTTGGAAAGTTTGCCCTCCTCCCTCCTCAAAGTTGTCTTCATCCACCACTGCATTTCCTTAAGGTTAAAAAATTAAAAATAAATATTTTTAATAGCATGTATGACGAAGTCAACGTACCTTAGTTCCACTGAAAGTCAATTGATATTTCTGACGAAATTGTCCTTGAAACACGATCCGTACTGACGAATGGTTGCCATCCCGTATCCAGTAAGATAAAGTAGATAGAGAAAGAGAAGATTCTCATCAGAAAGCTTAGCATTGCCTGCATCTCAAATTACTTAACCTATAATAAAAATAATCTTATCTACCTATTCAATTAACTTAACTAAACATATATCTTAAAATCTAAATGAGTGTATGATGCTAAGGTAGTCGATATCCCTCTTCAATCTCCCTCTCTTGCCCAGGGTGTCGCTGATACCATGCGGTGCACTGAGTATTGGCTGTGGACCTGGTCACGCTACGGACATGAGCCTCGTAAGCGATGTATCGTGCCGCCAGCCGCCAAACAGTACGTTGCTTGAGGATTCGAAGCTCACCTGTACAACGGACTTCGAAATCAGAGTCAATCGACTACCGAAGCCTTAACTTACCTATTAACTACAATTGCCCTAGCCTTAAAAGACTACAAAACTCAAAGAGCCCATGCTTTAACTTAATAATAATAATGTTAAACTTAATGATAAGCCTACCTATTGATACACTTACATCGTTCCTATCATTAAATTATAGCCCTTAATTACCTATGACATTAAATTACTCTCAACCTTAGTAATAATAAAATAATGTGTTGTGAAAATAAAATTACGCTCAATATAATGTGATGCATGTGTGTTTGGTACGGTAGTGGAAAGACCCCTTCATTCTCCCTCCCTTGCACAGCGGTTCGCCGACGGCCATTGTACCGGGCAGTCAACCATTGCCGTACCGGATGGTAAACCATTGCCGGTACACCACTGGCCACTAACGCTTGTCGCCGTACAACGGAATTTGAAATCCAGGGTCTTTCGACTATCGTACCTACCTAATAAAACTAAATAAACATTCTTAACGCAAATGCAAAAAAGAATAGAAGAGGCAAAACTTACCTATTCAACTACGTTAATGTTGTATGTTTTCTATCTATCCTACCTACAATTAAAATTATCCCTATCTAACATACCTATCAAAACTTAATGTAATGTGTGTGTGGGTGTGTGTGTTGAATAAAGAGAAAAAGTAAAACATAGAAGATCCGACTCCATAATGAACTCCTCCACAAATGCATCGTACTGAGGTCTTTTCGGGAAATTCTGTGAAAAATTCAATACTGACACTGATGCAAATTCTTAGGCGTATCCTACATGAACAAAAACTAATCATTTGTTATTTACTAATGGAAGATTCGACTTCATAATGAACTCCTCCACAGATGCCGGCATTCAAGGTCTAACTTACTGTGCTGTTGAAGGATGGTCCCATCACTGATCGACATTCTGCATCGTACTGAGGTCTTTCCGGAGGTTCTGTGAAAACTTCAGTACTAATACTACTGCAAATTCTTGAGCATTCCTGAATGAAAGAAATATTATTTAATTATTATAATTATTGTTTACTAATGGAAGATTCGACTCCATGATGAACTCCTCCACTGATGCCGGCGTCCAAGGTCTGACTTGCTGTGCAGTTGAAGGATGGTCCCATCACTGATCGACAATCTGCATTGTACTTGAGGTCTTTCCGGGAGGTTCTGTGAAAACTTCGATACTGGTACTGATGCAAATTCTAAGGCCTCTTCTAAATGAAAGAAATATTATTTAACTATTATAATTATTGTTTACTAATAAAGATTCGACTCCATGATGAACTCCTCCACTGATGCCGGCGTCCAAGGTCTGACTTGCTGTGCAGTTGAAGGATGGTCCCATCACTGATCGACAATCTTGAGGTCTTTCCGGGAGGTTCTGTGAAAACTTCGATACTGGTACTGATGCAAATTCTAAGGCCTCTTCTAAATGAAAGAAATATTATTTAACTATTATAATTATTGTTTACTAATAAAGATTCGACTCCATGATGAACTCCTCCACTGATGCCGGCGTCCAAGGTCTGACTTGCTGTGCAGTTGAAGGATGGTCCCATCACTGATCGACATTCTGCATCGTACTGAGGTCATTTCGGGAGGTTTGCGAAAACTTCGATACTGGTACTAATGCAAATTCTAAGGCGTCTCCTAAATGAAAAAAAAAATTATTTAATTATTGTTTAATAATGGAAGATCCGACTCCATAATGAATTCCTCCACAGATGCCGGCGTCCCAGGTCTGATTTGCTGTGCGGTTGAGGATGGTCCCATCACTGATCGACATTCTGCATCGTACTGAGGTCTTCCCTGGAGGTGCTGTGAAAAATTCGATTCTGATACTGATGCAAAATCTTAGGCGAATCCTGAATTTTAAAAAAATTATTCATTTAATTACTAACGAAAATCAAAAACGAGTCGGTCGTGGCGAAAAACGCCATCTAGCTGGCTAGCAAAGAAAAGAACCGCAAAGAACCGCAAAGAAAAGAGCGAAGATACACCTCAATATACCTCAATATATATACCTCAATATATATACCTCAATATTCCTCGATATACCTCAATATATATACCTCAATATTCCTCGATATACCTCAATATATATACCTCGATATACCTCAATATACCTCAATATATATACCTCAATATACTTCAATATACCTCAGTATATATACCTCAATATATATACCTCGATATACTTCAATATACTTCAATATACTTCAATATACCTCACTATAACTCAATATACCTCAATATACCTCTTTACCTCTATACCAAATGAGATCAGGCATTTCTGGCTCAAGCGAGCATGCGAGGCAAAAGTGCCTGATCTGGTTTCAATGCTTTTTCAGCTTCTATTTATACTCGTTTCAGCCATACATTCTCATCATTTCAACCATTCACATCAGTAGAAAGTTTATTTCATTTATGTAATACACTACTATACAGTCTTAACGACAATGCTAGCCAAACTAAATTAACGTCGGTAAGTAACGCCTTCGAAGCTTTCTGATTGGCTGGTTGGTAATTCTATATAGCTTTTTATAAAAACATATAGAATTTAAAATCTATTTTTTATGTTAATTTATTATATAAATTCACTATTGAAATAACAGTTAATGTTGTTACTTTAAATATTATAAGTATATGCTTTATCTATATTTTTTGTTATATGCGTTTATTATTGCTGTATGAGCAGTTCAATTTCCACTAAGAGGGATAGAACTTGAGGCCACACCTTTCTTACTTTTAGCTCTGATCTGAATACATATCGATACCTTTTTGTAGAATCATGATTAGTAACGCAATGTTTTTGTAGAATCATGATGATCATCGTTGCGAGAGAGATAGATAGAAAGAGAGAGAGAGAGAGAGAGAGAAATAACTTGAGACCACACCTTATTAAAATCGAGAGCTGACTGAATACATATCGATATTTTTTTGTAGAATCATGTAACGCAATTTTATCGCTATAGCAAATAATTAAATTTTTAAAATTTTTTTAGTGTGTATTAATTAGTTCGGTCAAAAGTGTGTATCAAAGTTTGATATCTCAATGAAATTAATTTAAGATGTTTTTTAAAAGTCAAGGTCGGTTCTTTTTTTAATGTCTTGTTGGTTCGTGATCCTCATGTATGTGCTTGGCTCGTACAGTATGCAGTTACCAGATTCGAATACACATGCTTCGTGTGTGTGCTGCGTTTCTCAGTAGCACGTATAAGTAGCACGTACGCGATGTGCATCTTTACTTCGAAAATAAAAATTATAAAATAAAGGAAGGTGTTAGGCAAGGCTTTGTATTCTCTCCAGACCTGTACAATCTCTATAGTGAGATCATCATGAGAAAGATAGAAGATCTACTGGGTATATTCATTGGAGGCGTGAATATAATACATAAACTATAATAATAATTATTATTATAATTATCATTATAATGGCTACAAGCCATTGCACATAATTCATTTTTTAATTGCCTCATTTAATACGGATGTCAAACAATGACTTGTATTTGGTAGCAGCGAATCTTATTCAGCGATATTATAAAATATTATTCAGCCATTAATTCATCTGAACTTGAGGTATATCACGATAGGAATCGCCATCATCGTGCCTACCTGTTAACTTGAAAATATTCAATATATACGATAAATTATTTTCATATGAAAACCGATTTTTCAAATTTAGATAACTACAACAAATAAATCCCACGTGGCTCATAAACAGTCGAAAATTTTAAAACTCCCATCACAGTTTGAAGGAAAACTGACACAAGACAAGCTGGTAAACTTCAACATCCACTTGAAAATTGCACAAATTAGTTGACGATTTCCCCCAAAGAAAGTGGCCAGTACGGGAATTCATCTATCAAGTTGCTACATTTGAAAGATGATTTTTTGGTTCTTATGAAGATTTCAAAAATTTCTGACAAAAAATACAAGTTCGTATGAAAAGCTTGCCGGAAATTCAAAAATCACACTCTTTAGACCGGGTAATCAAGCGCACATTGAACATGGCAAATCCGATCTGTACGTTCGAAATACGAAACCAAAAAATATCACATAAAATTTTTCTTCCATATTCAACAATTAACAACATCATCGCCTATAATTTATAGAATACCAAAAATAATTTAAATGAAAAGCCAAATTAATAGGATGTAACAACAACGTCCAAACATGAACCGAACTCAAAAAAAAACTTCTGCTACAGAAATGTAATGTAGCATGTACATGTGGAATAATAACAAATTATTAATTAATTAACTAACTAACCAGCCAGTTAAACAACAAGAGTTAAACCATAGCAAATAACAATATAGCAACATATACAATTTACGATAAAATGAATGTTAGTACGATGATTAAATTGAGGCATACAAAAAATTAATAATATTTATTTCAATCCGTATGTATCGATCAATCTTTTGGCCACGCATATGTACTGCTTCTGTGCATCCTCTTTCGACAGGCCTGTGAATTTGGAGAAAAGAAATAAACCTTTAGCTTATTTTTTTAAAGGTCCATAAGTATTTTAAGGTTTATAAATATGTTCATAAATATTCCATATATATATATATATATATATATATATATATATATATATATATATATATATATATATATATAGTATGTTATTCAGTTGAAATAATTTACTCTTACAGTTTTTCAACTTATATTGATGTTAGTAAACACATTGTGTACTGAAACATTTGCCAGTGTGATTATTTAAAAAAAATGAATTAATGGATAAATGAATGACTATATGAATGAATAGATAAATGAATGAATGGATAGATGGATGATTGAATGAATGAATAAATGAATGAATAAAGTTAACAACTGTTTGAACATTAAAAAAATAGTCATTAGCATATTGAAATGACAAAATAATATTTTAAACAAGTTAACTGAAAAAAAAAACTAACAGGTAAATAATCAAACAAACAAAATGAATGGATGAATGAATGAATGAATAAATGGATGAATAAATGGATGAATAAATGAATGAATGAATGAATGAATGACCTTTTCTTCCATTCCAGTTATCCCATTTAGCTTTTCCTTTAAAGTCTAGCATACCAGGTCTCGCTGGAAAAATTAAAAAAAAATTAGTTTTTACAGAAAAAACATTAATCAAATTAAGTAAAAAATGTAAATGGATAAAAAAAATGCAGCCTCTTGAAACAGTGCCTTGGACAACTGCATAGACAAGCTATCCACTCTACATTCTCAAGAAATTAAAATTAAACAAGTTTTTTGAACGAGTTTCTTTTTGAATTCATTACTGGTCAAATTTAAAAAAAAAAGTAGTAGTATAAATAAGTGATGATCTTGAGAGTTTTAATGCTTATAGCCAAGGTTGTACAGATAATAAGGGGCAGGTACAGTTGAAGAAAAAATTATAGAGATTAAACTATTGCAAAAGGTGATAAAAAATTGTGATAAGAAAGCTGTCTTTCAATTACGCAATGGTTATTTGATAATTTCCTGTCTATTTAAATATAATATTAATAAATAAATATACACATAAAAAATAAATTCATCTATGTTATACACATTTTCAGCATAGTCATACTAATATATGCAACACAATCCTATAGATAGAGACTTACAGAGTATTGGTGCAACCTACAAAATGGGTATACAAACACATTTGTGAAACACTCCTCTGAAATGAATGTGTTTGTGTGGTGTGCATGTGGTTGTGTGGCTTGTGTGTGTGTGTGTGAGTGTTATGTGTGTATGAACAACCTGTATTAGTGTCCCCAACAGTGGCCTGCTTATAAAGACCATAGAGTTCTAACAGCTCATCATCTGTCGGTTGGCTTTTCAACTTTTTCACATCCTCGGCTGCTTTGTTGAATTCTGCCTACAAATTATTTTTAAAAATATTAAATTAAATAAAACAATCAATAAAAGAGTAACATAAACGTTATAAAAATATAAAGTAAAGTTTGTGTAGTAAAAAAAAGATAACACACAAAAAAATACATTAAAAAATAAAATTTTAATTTTAGATAGATCATGATACAAATGATTATTTTAATTAATATTATTGTTAATATAACCTCATTATTTTAATAATCAAATAAAATTAAATTAATTTAATTTTAATTTAATTAACTAATGGGTACTATGTTGTCAATAATATAATAAATTAACAAATAACGCTATCTATCTAGAGGAGTCTTTACTAGATGTTATGTTATACTTTATTATGTTTATTTTATTATATTATTATACTATAATTAATATAACAGTATAACTGTATTTAATACAGTGTATTATAAAACCAGTAACTGTTGTAATCGTAATGTGATCGTAATGTAATGTAATATGAAAATCAGGCAAACAGGCATAATTAAATATAAAAAACCAGCTAACCTCAGTCATCTTGAATTAATTCAATTAATTTAATTAATTTCACTAATCAAATAAATACAAATCCAGTTAGCATTCGGCACGATCGTCAGATACAAAAGTGAAGTGGGCAAAGGTAACAGAAACAAAACAGGGATGGTCTAATCGACGTGAAATTATGAAACTGAAAAAACATTCATTCAGGCATCTCTGGTTATTAAATCAATGTTAAAATAATTGTCACATATAGCATTAAAGGCTCCAATCTAACCTTGACGTTTGTCGGATGAGTTTATCAATCAATCAATCAATCAATCAATCAATCAATCAATCAATCAATCAATCAATCAATCAATCAATCAATCAATCAACCAATCAATCAGTTTATAAAGCGCTATTTTCGCAATGTTCAACAGGGCTTCTCAATGAATTCGCTCTAAACTTCGTAAGTGATGGAGAAGTCGTCAGAGAAGGAGGTAGAGAGTTCCAGAGATAAGGGCCAAAAAAAGCAAAAGCCGAATTAGCAAAAGAGTGTTTAACACGAGTTAAGAAGAGGTGAAAACAAGAAGACGATCGTAAAAGGGAGCGTTTAGGTTCAATTAATATATCTGATAAGTACTTAGGAAATAATTTAGATTGAGACTTATACTGAAATGTGCAAATTTTAAAAATTACTCTATATTTTATAGGTTACCAGTGCAAGAGAACAAAATATGGAGATATATGAGAAAAGAAAAGGGCACTAGAAACTAGACGAGCAGCTGAGTTAAAAGCATTACTTAAAGGATAGAGTGTAGAATCATGAAGACCATAGTAGAGCGAGTTACAATAATCCATCCTAGATAAGACTAAGGAAGTAACAAGGAGAAGAAAAGTAGGATCGTCAAAAAAAGGCAAAAGTTGTTTTATTCTACGTAGATGAAAGTAAGAACTTCTAGCAACACAATTACTCTGAGAAAAAAAAGACATGCTAAAATCAAAAA